GCCGTATATTGCGCTAGTCAGTACGGACGTCCGCGCGGCAGTATGTCGCCGGCGCTATATTGTCGTGCTACTCCGCTCCGCTTCGCTCTGCTCGACGCGGCGCGGCTGCGACGTCTGTATCCACTCTAGGGCGCGGTCAGTAACCGCTACAAATGCTGCTTAACATTTCTCTTTCTTGTTCTATTTCTAGCATTTGAATGAAGCAAGAGAAAGAAATAAAAACGTTACGAAGCATTTGTAGCGCTTACTGGACCGCCGTATATCGCGCTAGTGAGTACGGATGTCCGCGTGGCGGGTATGTCGCCGGCGCTATATCGCGCCGCGCTACTCCGCTCCGCTTCGCTCTGCTCGACGCGGCGCGGCTGCGGTATCCGTATCCACTCTAGGGTGCGGTCCAGTAACCGCTACAAATGCTGCGCAGCATTTCTCTTTCTTGTTCTATTTCTCGGATTCGAATGAAAAAAGAGAAAGAAGTAAAAACGTTACGAAGCATTTGTAGCGCTTACTGGACCGCCGTATATCGCGCTAGTGAGTACGGATGTCCGCGTGGCGGGTATGTCGCCGGCGCTATATCGCGCCGCGCTACTCTGTTCCGCTTCGCTCCGCTTCGCTCTGCTCGACGCGGCGCGACTGCGGTGTCCGTATCCACTCTAGTTCGCCATATATCGCGCTAGTAAGTACGGACGTCCGCGCGGCGGGTATGTCACCGGCGCTATATCGCGCCGCGCTACTCCGCTCCGTCCCGCTCGCGGCGGCGGTTCGCGGCGGCGTCCGTATCTACTGAAGCCCGTCGCGTCGCGCTAGTAGGTACGGACGTCCGCAAGCTGGCATATCTCTCTCGCCGGCGCTATATCACTGCACGCTACTCCGCTCCGCTCCTCTTCGCACGAGTCCAACGCGCGTTCGCACGCGGCGCGCGCGATTCACGCTCATTCATTACATAAAGGAGCTCACTGTTTACCGAGAGACCGCTTTATTTTTAGTCGTGCCGCGATGCTTTATGCGACGTCGGCCGATTTGCGAGACCGCGCCGCAAGAGAGCGAGCGAGAAAACGTACGTACATACGAGCGAGCGAGCGGCTCTCTCGCGTGGTTAAACCGCGTTTACGCAACCGCGTTTCGCAGCAGTGCCGACTCGCGCCGCGCCGTTTCGCGCGCCTGCGAATCCGCACGTGCAAAACCGCGCGTGTATACGCGCGTGCCGCGTCTCGATGCAACGCTACGCAACGCAACGTAACGCAGCGCATCGCGATCGCGTCCCCTCTCCCGGACAACTCCGCTCTTCTGATAACGACAGCCGGGAACTCAACGTTTAGCATAGAACGTTTATGTAACAATTATGTTACGCGCAACACTTAATTTTAGATGGATTATAATCGAGATTTTCCTTTGGCGAAAGGATCGCGTTAATGGGAATATTAAATACGTCTCAGCCTAGAACGAGGATTGCAGCGCTAAATTATACATGAGGGAGTTAAAACTCTAAATGTCGAAATTGTCGATTAAATTTTATCGTCGTGGTAAAGTAACGGTAATGACAGTCTGTGGCGTATCGGGACGCACGTTGCGTATCCTTTTAAGATGACGACGCTCGATCTCCTTTTTGTAAATTAATCGACGGAGGAAACCTTACGTAACGCCACCGAAATGCGGTCTACCCCGCGGACGGTTCTAGTCGCATTTTTGCGCGAATTTGCGCAATCTCTCTACTTAAAAGTATCCGTGGGACGCGTCGGCTGCACCGCGTGCATCCGATCGCCCGTGGAATCCAAGTCCATGGATTTGTTCACGCTTCTCGATCGTGTATATCGAACTCGTCGAGCATTGCTCAACGCTCTAGTAAACGCGCATGGCCACGTAAGGCGCCTATAATTACGAAACGTGGCGTTTAATAACGACCGCGAGGTGAGTCGGATTCGAGTTATGTCAGACGAGTTATGTTATGACGACGAGTTTTTCGAAGCGACCGTCGTTTGCTTCTGCACAGGAAGAGAATTTTATAGTGAAAATTACTAGAAAATTTTGCAACCGAGGAACAGATCGACATTCTGCAGTAATATATTGTCTTTCCAGTTTGTATGTGCTACTTTAGGAAATGAAATGTGCTACTAAGATATGTTTTTAGCGAAGTCTGCTGTGCTTCGAGCAAAATTTAGCATGTTCCTTGACAAAACAGATTTTACTGACAGTCTATTTCTCACTGAAGGAAAGATGTTTGGTATTTGTAATTATAGAATGACACATATGATAGAAAAAATAATTATGATAGAGAAAACATTCTTTTATATTGCATTGTATTATAATGTTAATGGCAATAATCTTATATGCACGTTACTACTACCATTTTTGTCTTAGAGCAACCACAAAATATGGTAGGAACCGAAAGTTATTATGAATTTAGTTAGATCAACCATTTTTTCTCTCAGTGCTGGTCAGTGTTGAAAACATGAAAGGGAAAAGAATTTATATGAAAAGAAAAAAACTGCAATATTCTCTCCGTGTGAAAGAAGAAAAATAGGGAAAATGAACTATTTCGAATACTGTCTGTTCCCCGGCGTGGACTCAATTAAAAAATAAATACGGATGCGCAATCGTATGAGCCGGTTATTTTTGCCCGTTAACACGGCTGATTACACCGCGATTTCATCCGACATTGAGACACTGACGTAACTATGTCTTTCGCGGGAAGTCGTGGTCTACGAATTCGACGGCCACGACGATATGATGACGAGGACGCCGATGGCGATGCCTTTAGCCGCATTAAGCATAATAAAATCCGCTGCGTCTTCCGTTCGCTGCCAAAAGGAGCAGGCACGACGAAGCACGGCCGCGACGCGCCTCACCAACCGCGTGTGTAAACCATTTACGTAACGGCGAGAGATACGCCGTATTTCGATGATTAACAATTTGTTTTGCGATCGGCAAAGGTGACTCTTTGTACGGCACAAATACCTTACGTAAGTCACCAGATAAACGCGCGTATGCAGCTGGAGATTAAGCGCGCGCGCGGCTTTTCGGATTTCGAAGACGATTAATTTTCGACTGCATATCCCGCAACGAACGTTGTTCCCTTTTTTTTCGCCTTTATTTTGTTGAACGTCATATTGTCGGCAGGCTTTCCTGTTCCATAGTATATTGTCTCGGACTCGAAGTGTCGACATCTCCAATTAAGTTCATTAAAACGAGGATAAATCTTTTTTCGCATGTTGTGCTGACGCGATGAATATTTGATGATCACTAATTTAGCGTACTTTTTTCCGTTTTATAATCTACGAATGCTTTTTCATTCATCGTGTGTCAGTCCGCCGAATACTTGCTTTGCCATTTAAGCAAGCGCGTCTTCACATCGCGTTTGCTATGCATACTGCGCCACAAACGCGTAATTTAAATAGCTCAAGCGATCACGTAAGAATACGCGCTATCAATACCCGCATTTGTCATTCGCGCACTGCACGGCCATCGACGGTCGTCCATCACACATCCTGGCGCGATCGCGATAATTTCTTTTAAATTCGCCTAAAACCGCCGTAAACCACCCCCTTCCCTCGTCTTGAACACTGAATATTAATGAAGCTTCCTCTACAATTGCGCTCGGTAGAAACTGATTTTGAACTCGCCAAGCAATGCGTTATCGAATCTTGATAAGGCGAGAGGGAGAAGGGTTCTTAGATATACGCGACGAGGGGTTAATCACCCCGTCGGCCGCCATATATTGATCTCCCATCCTTCGCCGCCCTTCACCACCCTGCGCCCTTCGCACGCAGTACAGCCCTCTCTCCCTTCATTCGAAGAGGTGCTCTCCTGTGGCGTCTGCGTACACCCTGCACGCACACGCGTGTCTGCACGCATCTAGTGAGCGCGGGCTACGTGATCGTGCCGCTGCTCATGCTCAGTGAGAAGCCTAGAGTCCATAGGGCCGAAGTTCAGCGACGAAAAGCTGTCCGCACAATCGAAACTCGCGTCACACTCGGTCGTGCTTTGTGCACCGTCGGTGCAATCTCGCTCGGAAGCCCCCTGTGTCGTGCAGTTTGCGCACACTCGACGTGCCGGCGAGACCAGGCAAGATCCGTCGCCGCGGAAGTCCCCGGTCGATCGAGCCAAGGTTACGACAACAAGTGTCCGGGACTATGTCCCGACTAAGACCGGCTGTGTCGGGGACTCGATAGCGACGGGGGTCGCTTACAATCGGACTGTCACGATAGCGTTAATGACAGAACCATGCTTCCATCGACTGCTGCGACAATGACGACGGAAGAGTAAGGCATATATTGTTCAGAGAGCGCGGCGGTCGTCATTTATTCTAGACTTGAATGATTTGACTCGACGGAACGTAGGTAGAGGGAAAAATGGGTTAAACGTAATGGAAGCTTCATCACGACCTTCATTCTTCCTCCCGTCTGGTCGGCAGGACACCGTTGGTCTCTTATCAACCGTGACAACGAGCCAACGAGATAATACCAGGAAGAATGCCCGCGGAAAGATTAGAGGGAACGAGGAGAGTCAGCGAAAGCTTCAGGAATCTTCCGGACGCAGAAGTGCACAGATCGCCATCGTTCTACAATGACAGCCGGCGACCGAGTAGCACTCGGAGCGGACAAAGAAGAAACAATCCTCGCGACGGCGCGACGACGCCTCGGGTGGGAGCAACGGGAGTGCGGCCGCCAACACCTACGCACCGCGACAGACACGCTGCCACGGCGCGAGTAAGCAGCAACACTCTCGGAGCTACGTGCAGCGTGCTCTGTAATTCCCTCCGGCTCCCCACCCCCGCGTAGTACACCGAAGCCGCGTGGCGCTGGCTTCGTGTGTCTTGGAGGTGGCTGCACCACGAGCACTCCTCCACCGCAGCCACGACTGCCGCCGCCACGACCGCCGCCGCCGCCGCCGCCGCCGCCGCCATCACCACCACCGCCGCTGCCACCTCCGCCGCTGCTGCCGCCGTCGCCGCCGCCGCCACCACCACCACCACCACCACCACCATCCCCTGCTGACCGACTCTGACAGTGGCTCGGCTGACCTGTGACAGCCGAGGCGTCAGTCCTCGGTGCGCCAGTGTGCCGTGTGGAGCGGTCTCGCGCGCGCGCGTCACGCTCACCTCCGTCGCGGAGCAGCACGACGTGGATCGCGTGGACGGTCAGCTGTCAAACTCTGCGTCAATTGCTGCAACCCCCGCGCGCTGGTGAGTCATCGGCGAGATTCCCGAGAGAGAGGATCGACGGGTCGCGATCGGAATCGTGTAGCTATCGGCGAAGGTGCTCGTTCCGCGTAGTGACGTCCGACGTGATTGCCACAGTCGGATTTTCCGTAAGATGCACGTCGCCTCTGACGCTCAGCAGTCGGCGTCGAGCGGCTTCAACCGTGCGGATCGGTCGACGTACGAAGCGCGCGAGTGAGTGGCTGGCTCGAGAAGGATAGAGGATCCTTTTCCCTCCTCTCCGAAGGGTGACACGCGAGCGGCAGACGCAGCTCGACGCGACGCGACACGACGCGACGCGATGACGGAACTCGCCAAGGAGGCGTTCACCTCGCGCGACTACCACCTGGCGGCCGAGATGTACGAGCGGAGCAGCTTGAAACAACAGAGTACGAACTACGAGGTGCTGCTTGGCTACGGCGACTCTCTGGCCGAGTGCGGCCGCGTCAGGGACTCCATCGGGATCTACTCGAGGTGTTTGGCCGCGACTTCGGTGCCGGCCGAGAGACTCAAGCACTTGGCGACCGCGCTCCTGGACGACATGGCCGGGCCGACCTCCAGACGAAGGATCGAGGCGTCCTTCGCGTGTCCGCTGTGTGAAGGCACTCTCTGTCAACCGGTGACCGCCGCCTGCGGTCATACATATTGCAGGAACTGCGCGGACCCGGCGAAAAATTGTCGCGTGTGCGGCCTGAAAATCGTCACGGTGGGTGAGACGAACGTGCTTGTACAGAGACTCGTGGAGAGATGGTGGCCGCGAGAAGTGGAGGCCAGTCGGGCCAGGCACGAGGGTGATATTCTCGTGAGGAAGGGTCACCTGGGTCAAGCGCTCGAGAGGTACAACTTGGCGGTTCATCTCGGTGAGTAGACCACGGATTTTATTCCCGCGGATAACTCTTGCGTCGTGATGAGTCGCTATTCGACTCGCCCTGATTTCACGTGTCTACTCACGTTTTATCGGCAACGTGATCAAGGTTTCTCGCTATTGCGCCTAATGATTGTCGATAATTTTCAACGGGTCAATTCGCCTCGCCTTCTGAATTCTTCCGCGTGTATGTTTGTTCCTTTGTTTATAAAGAAATGCGCTGTTTTGTAAAATCTGGCGCATTTAATCGAACGGACGCGATCGTCCGTAAACGTGACCTTAGTCACGCAGCAAATGACGTATCAGGTGAAGCAGATTGTGCGTAAACAAAGGAAATTTTGCGGTCGGTCGTAAAAAAGTGCGAAATCTCAAAGACGGTGTGATCTCGCGATCCTCGAAAAGTCAAACGGGCGGCACCGTTTTAGATTTGGTTTCCTCATACGAGCGAAGGGTAACAACATGGTTACATAAAGATTATTACGAAACACCTAATCTGAATAACGTTTCAGGCGAGTCGGTAGACGACTAAAACTCTACTTGTGTTTTATCACTCGCGTTTCATAATCTGTCACGGCTTAATCGTAATCATCGACGTTCGGCGCCAATTAAATCACGTCTTTTTGAAGGCGCTTGCCCGATTAACACGCGGATTAACGCGCAAGTGAGGATCGATCGCTTAAAGCGCGCGCTTAACGTTCGCGGATCTGGTTCAGATGTGCGCGATCCGGTATGAGATGATGCTGAAACCAGATCTATCGTGATCATGATTCTGGTAATCTTTCGAGCAGCGGTTAATTAACTATTTTTGAGAGTTAAAAAACGGTATTTATGTGGTATTCGGGAAGAAGTTACGTCTGGTGGCTCGGGAGATGTGTCTTTATTACCGTTTGAAAAAACAAATTTGCGAAGTCTGATTTCCAATTATCAACAACAATCTGGAGCTTGACACAAGACAAAACGAAGCGTCTGTACGAATAATGAGATACTGCAAAAAAATATATTGTGGCATTGACATTGCGATGATATGTAACGATTAACGGGTTTTACGTGACGTTAATGATACGCTTTTAATTGTGCGCCAACTGCGCGCGATATAAAAAAATAACATGCTGCACAGGCAAAACATTGAGGAAAACGATACAAAAAATATACACACGCACATACACACACACAGTTTTCAACGAGACAATCGCCCATTCAAACACTCTTGTTTACTACATTTAATCATACACAAAATTATCTGCCAATTAGAGCTATTTTTAGCCGAACAATCTCTCTTTCTCTCTCTTTCTGCAAACAGTGCCAAATTGCAATTATCCCATCAGCTTTGATGCTGCATACATGGGAAACACGCGATAACGACGCCTCTTCCTCAGAGTCAGTTTTTTCTCGAAATTAATCAGTGAGCATTGAAGAGGATCACGGTATCTCGAGAGCACATGTGCTCGTCTTCTCTTTCTCTCCGATACCGAGTCTCGCTCATGCACTCGCTCCTTTCCTCGCTCTCCCTCGCGGTTCATTTTTTATCACTCCAAGCTAAACAGACTGCGATTATTGACCTCTGTGCAGCCAGTCTGCCAGCCAGCCAGTCAGTCAGCCTACACGCATCTGCCCTCTTATTCACCTCGTAAGATTTTAATCACGGATTCCTCAACATCTGCAGTCGATCTCTCTGCGACGAGAATTCCACGAGAGGTCATTATTCCCCGCCAATCATCCGTTTGACATTAAATCGACGACTTTTGCACAGGGCAGGGAGAAGAGATTCGTCGTAATTATTAATTGTTTACGTATTGTCGCGAATTATTCTCACGTAGAGGAGTTGGTTCCGCCAAATTTCCAGTTACTCCCTCGAAAAAAACCGGCTCAGAAATCCGCTCGTTTGTTCTGACCGATTTTTAAGTAGAACAAATTAAAGATTAAAAAGATATCTTCGAGATACACGTATTAGAGCAAGTGAGAAGAGAGCGAGTGGTGGTCGCAGTCAGCAGATAGGTCGATGCACGCCTCGCTACTAGGTACAAACTTGATAATCGTCCGGTGACGCTATTAATATATCTGGCTGATGAAGATGGATGCACTCCACCCACGATCGTGCCGTGATTCTCAGTTGAAACTTGGAACTCCGTCTCGTCTCCGTTGATCTCCGCGTCAGCCTCGACTTTTCGCCTTCCGCTTCTGCATTCGATTGTCGTTGCACCGAGTGACGTATGGAATGCGTGAAAAAGGAGGCGTCGCGTTCGACTGCAACGACCACAATGGTATTGGCTACGACGATGACGACGACGACGACGACGACGACGACGACGACGACGACGCTGTTAAGTTCACGGTCAATCCGAAGTGATTTTCTTACGTAACATCTCTCGGAGAGATCGGTCTGGATCGACGACGTCTGGAAAGACGCCACATTTACCATGAGTTATCGGACGAATGTTCACGCGATTATGTATCGACGTTCCGCCATCGAAAGACTCGACTTGGAAACTTGTGTTCTCGAAATGCTAAATTCTCACGTTCGTTAGCGTCGATTTTTGCCAATTTCACATTTGCATAGCTTGCAAGCAGACGTCCACGCGCGCGTGCGCGCACAACCTTCGCCTAGGTATTGGCGAATGCAGACGCGACTCTCGATTTAACCTTCTTGCCCGCAGAATCACGTTACGCGCGATCGCCCCGAAAGACAGATGCGAAATCGGACGCGTATCTTCAGAGGCGACGAGGAGTCTAGCCGGCCACGTGTCGTGGTACACGCGCGTCCCTTGGATATTTTCCATGCGAAAAGTCTCATCCGCCGTTATGCGCCACGACGACGATAACAAGGACGATCTCGGCAAGGCCGATTAGTCACGAAGCGCTTGGTCGTTATCGCGAGTACGCGTCATTGTTCCAGGTACTCCTTTCGTTTAGCGGCCCGACGGAATCGTCGATCATTTCCACGATAGAGAAAACAGATAAAAATATTTCACGTCGCATACGATGTATCTCGCTCGAGCGCGAAAGAATCGATTGTACATAGCCAAGACGGGCACACGCGATTGTCAGTTTGCACTGAGAGAAAAAGTTTAGCTAATTCAACAAAGTACCCGCAGCTAATAGTTTCTTGATATGGCATAGCAAACAATGTATTGAGGACGAATATTTTGTCACTTTCAATTTGCTGCTCTTAGCAACACTTTTGTAATGGAGACGTAACGAACGTCCTAAATAGACGAAAACATACGTGTTCGGCATCTCAGACAATGTATGTTTATTGAAATGACAAATGTTGAGAAGTGATTTGCAACGGTAACTGTTCGATCAATTTCCCTAATGATCGTCAAACAAAAGACGTGTTCTTGTTCTGATAATTGAGGGATTTTCCTCAATGTAACGCGACGACGATCACGCTCACATGCAGCGAACATCGATGCGAAATTTTCTTCGTAAATATAATTAGCAAGTGACACAGTTGTTTACGCGTAAATATCGCTTGCGCGCGCAGCACTGAATCAGAGTCCTCCGCGAATATATTAAACCGCACAATAAATCGTCGGGTTAAAACGCGGGGGTTACGTAAAGCGACGTTATCGCGCGCGCGCGCGCATGCGCGTGTGTCTACGCGAGCTCGCGCGATGTGTGCATTAATGAGCAGCTTTACGTGGAAATGAAATTTTAAAGATCGTCAGATCGAAAGGAGATCCCGCTAGTGCACGGTACAAGCCATCTGCGTGCATGGTAGCGTTTTTGCCCTCGGCAGCACCTGCATCGTTCACCTGGCCTCCGGGTCGATTACGGCAATTTTAATAAGTTTCTTCGGCGACGCTGCAACGCCACACTTTAGAGCGAAACTCATTTCGCGCGAGTATACTCGAATACCTCTCTGAATACCTCTCGTTTGTCTGCCAATTGTGTCTCTACCGCAAGTAAATTCGCAGACGATCTCTCTCTCTCTCTCTCTCTCTCTCTCTCTCTCTCTCTCTCTCTC